CAGGGGCAGCTTAAAGACCAGCTCTTTTGCCTGCCTTCCACACCCCCAACTCCACCTGCAAAGAAGTCCTGCCAAGTACAGGGGCAGCTACAGACCTACAGGAGAAGCCCTCCCACTTCCAGAACTCCCTCTTTTTAAGCAAGTACTCAAAGTCAGATGTTTCAAAAGCTGTCCTTCACATTACTGAATACCTAGGTAGGAACAAATTACAAAGTTCCTATTTAAGGGCAATGCATAGAATATAGCACCCCAACTTGTCTCTAAGACTGACTGACATCTAGGTTAAAGAGTTCATATCATACATAAAATAAAATAAAATAAAATAAAATAAAATAAAAACCAAGCCTTTCCTAGCAATTTTCTTGTGGACTAGAAAAATTTGGTACTTGCTGTGCTGCCATCACTAAGGAAATTGCTTTCTTACAGACACCAGCTAGCATTTTACCTTCTACAAAATCATTATGCAGCTGCACATCAACAAAACCAAACCTGACACTGAAATACTGGAACTTTCAGATAAATGAAACCCTGCAGGACGGACGGGACACACAGAGTCAACGCTTTCCTAACAGCTGCCTACATATCCCTCAGCTTTAAAAGGTATCACATTTGCTTGTGTCTAGCCTTTACGGACAAAGAATTAAATTTCACAATGTCTGAGAGCATTTAGTTAGCTTTGAAAGAAAAGAGCTAAAGGACTAACTACAACTTTGAAGTTCTAGGAAAAAATTTAGGCCTCTACATTAATAAAAGCTTGATTATTTTAACAACTGGAAAAATATCTCTCTGGAAAGGTACATGCTCTAAACAAGGGAAGACATTATTCATTTAAGAGATAAAGCTTACATTTTTATGAAAACATAAATTAATGTAAGTTTTTGTTAATCCCTCAGTGTCCTAAATATAATTTAATCTTTTTCTTTTTTATCACTCAGGGCCAACATCCAGAATCAATCCATGCACTCCACCACATACTGATAAGTAGCTGGCCTGGTACTTCATTTATTTGGTACAAGGGAGAGATTCCAGGTTGTAGTTAAGGAATTTCTACCAACCCTTAAAAATGATCATGTTTTTAAATTGAACTAGCAGACACGTAACAGTAACTCTTTCCATTGAATTTGTAGCTCACAAAAAACGTAAGAGAAAAATATAAAATGAATTAAAGGTGTACAGTACACAAATATACATGCCTTTACAACAGATTCAAATATCTTAGTTATACAATTGTGGAGAAATCAATCTCAGTAACTCTAGGCACCAGGTTTAAAAAACAAAAATCAAAAAAAATACTAGAGAAATTAAACACACATGCACATTCTCCTCCTCGTTCCCAAGGAAACAACAGTAAAATAAACATGTACATGTGCATGCATCTAAATACCCAGCTATCACAAAGAAGCACAGTCACAAAACTTGCTCTCAAAGAATTTCCGAATCCAGAAAAACACAGGGGTCTACATCTTTACAACATGGACATCTTCCTTTTCATAAGGCTGTATCTTCAGGAAACATACACAAGTGTTTTAGTAATTCACAGAAAAGCCATTATCAAATATTTAAAGATTTAATGTTTTGTAATATAATGTTGTTTTAATCAATTTAAGACTACCAATAATTCCATAAAAGCAATAAGCTACTACAAGATAAACATTTCTTCTTTTAAAGTAAAAGGGAGATCTTCCAATTAAATATCAGACTTGCATTTATCTCTACTTCATATAGCCAAACTAATAAAGGTATGAAGGGTCTAAGAAAATATACCATATGGAAGAGACAATGGTAGGACATACAATGGGAGGATAACTGGGGAGAAGAGTAGAAACCACCTGCAGAGAAGGAAAAAGCTGACATCTAAGTAAGAAACCATGGATCTGCAGGGAGAGAACATATAAAAGAACTCAAAACAATTCTCCAAAGGACCCAGTCGAAAAATGGCAAAAGCAAATAAATGACCTTTATAAACATTCTCAAAAGAAGTACAAATGGCCAACCCATATAGGAAAAACTGTTCAACATCTTCAACCACTAGGGAAATACAAACCAAAACTACTTTGGGATTCTATCTAAGCCCAGTGAGAATCATCAAGAATACAGTAAAACCATGAATAATGGTGAAGATGTGGATAAAAAGAGCCTTTCTACATTTCTGGTGGAAATGTAGACTAGTACAACCACTATGGAAATCAGTGTAGAGAATCCTGAGAAAACTAAAAATAGAAATATGACCTAATCCAGCATATTTCTGAAAGAATTAAATGTGGAATATTTTAGTGATATATACACAGCCACATTTAGAGTAGTACACTTCACAAAAGGGATGGTGTGGAAACAGCCAAGATGCCTACCAACAGAAAAATGGATAAAGGAAATAATAGTCTATATAAAATTAAATACTATTTGGCCATAAAGAGGAAAGAAATTGCATCATCTGCAAGAAAGTGAACAGAACTTGAGACATCATGCATAGTAAAACAAGCCAAACTTGGAGAGTTAAGTATTTACAGTTTTTTACCACTATGAGAAACATAAAGAAAAATGAATAACGTAAAGTATTGATGATCTTTAGGATCGGTCTTCTATGACTGAAACTTATCAATATATGCTAAATGTAATTTCTCCAAACAAGTCTCACTATTCTGTATCACTACGGTAAATGCTTACTCTCAAATGATCTGTATTCTGTATTCAATGATCTGATTCTATATCAATATATGTTAAACCTTATGCACCAATTTCCTTAAACCTTACTATTCTGTATCACCAACGTGGAATAACAACAACAAACAAAAAAAACCTCTGACAATTCAGAGCACAAGAAAAATTTGAAGCATCATATCCTTGAGATAAAAATAAGACTCCAAGAAACAATTAAAGGGTACAAAATAGTCATCAAAATTTAAAAACATGTAATCAGTGTTTTTTCAATTCAACATAAGGGTCAGAAATCAAGGAAATGGGGGCCTGCCCCTTAGCTCAGTTCTTTTTTTTTTTTTTCCCATAAATTTATTGAGAAACAAATAGCTCAGTTCTTTAAGTGGCTGCTTCAACAAAGCAGTCAGGCTCAGGTTGCTGTGGTTCGATCCCCACAACTCAAGCCAGCCAAACCTGCCCTTGAGGCATTTGGAGCAAAAAAAAGAAAAAAAAAAAAAAGAAAGAAATCAAAGAACTTTGTCAGAAAAGACAGTCAAAGAAAGCTGGAGGAAAAGAAATTCTGAAGTCCAAAGGGCCATACCTCAAGATCCAGCAATCCCAGACACAGGAAAAAGAACCAAAAGGTGGAGGAGAAACTGAACAGTAACCAAACCAAATTATTAGGGACCACCTGTGTAGCTCTCCTTGAAAGGAGAGAAGCTGTCTCCATTTTAATGTGTCTGACCCTATATCCATGTATTAACAGGTACAGAGCTGGCTAGTTTCCTTATCCCTTCAACTGGCTTTAAGCAATGCATATTGGTCTAGCTGAGGTTCTGGTGGTAGTCTTTGAAGAGGTAGTCTTTGAAGAAGTGTTTCCCTGATAATCCACACCTGCTGCTCCTTAATATGAGCTAGGTCAAGACAGGATGAACAGCCAGTGCTCTGCATTGCCGGCTGGGATAGAGCTTCAAGACAGAGGTTATGACCTCCTAGAGCTTGAAAGATTACACATCAGAGCTGAAGCACCAGACCCCAAAACATTAGATACTATCTCAATAGTATAATGCAAATCACTTTTCTGCATATCCTTCTCTGCATATCACGGAGGTAACTGCTGGCCTCCTACCTGCATTTACAGGCCAAGCTCACAGTGCTCACCTACTTCCTGCAATTCTCAGTCATTCATCCTCAAGCCACTCCTCATTCAGGACTGAATAAAACCCAGGTTCGGCCCTGGATCAAAGCCTTTGTCCTGGATAGCTAGCACCATGGCTGGACTCATGACCGCTTGGCTCCCCATAATTATAAATATGCTTTAGTGTCCTTATTTTCGCCATGGGTTGCACTGGGAGTGGTAGATTATAATTAACTTGGTGGGACTCCAATAATGTATTTTTGGGATTACAAGTATAAACTTCTTGGACCGAGATGAGGACCAAAAAGGACTCACTACACCAAATCACTAGCGCCCACATGAGAAACCGGAACTCAGTGCTGACTGAAGGTGCAGCCCTGTAAGCCCTCAGCCCACAGAACAGAACAGGCACCTTGGGGCATTTCACTGCTGCACTTTAGAACGAGGGGAATAAGGACAAGATTCGGAAAGCTTCTAACAAGGAAAAAATTAGAAACCAAAATAGGGGTGGACCCTGAGTGAGAGAAAAACAGTTGAGTGTATGAAGGTGGGACAGTTCACCTCAAATTTCTAAGAAAACTTTACATTCCAACACAAACACATTCTATTAGCTTTTAGGCCTGCAATAGCAAAATACAAACTAGTCAGCTTAAAACACTGCATCCAACATTTACATTGAATATTTATTTTTAAAACCAATTAAGGATTACAGTACATTGCAGAATGTTTTACCTCCAACATTAAAACAGAAAGCACTGCAGTCCATGTCAAAAGGGCAGAAGCAGGGTTTCTATATGCTGAAGATCAGGGACAGTATCTACAAGTAGCATTCTCCCCATCAGAAAAGTATCACCAAAGCTGCACAACACGAGGGTGGCTCTCTACCTTAACTTCTGTATCACACAGTACCATGGTCATGCAAGTTAAAGTCCTCAAGTGAAGCTGCAGCCCTCAGGGGCTTCCACTCTCTAAGATGCACTGTTGAGGCCCTGAACTGTGCATGCTAACACATTCACTTTCATCTCTTTGGCCCTGAGTTGTAACAGCAGGTGTATGACACTATAAATGGTTTTCAATCATCATGAAACTAAAGAATTCAAACTTGTAAGTTCAACTGTGGCATATAGGACTCTTACTAAACTCTGAAAATAAAACCGTAATTCTAGCTTTCTTTTCCATCTGAAAAAACAGAAACACTTGATGTACTGAATCCTATATAACGTCTTACCTGTTTGGCTTTTGCCTTCTTTTCCAATGAACTTTTCTCGTTTGTAGTTGCATCCATTCCTCTGAGAACACTGATGAAATCTCTCTTGGAAACACTTGATACCAACTTAGCACGCTTTCTAACAGAGCCTCCGGCCTCTCTAACCTTCTCGTCCACATTCTTCTGATGTTTCTGAACAGCATTGAATAACTGCACCACACCCCTGGAGAAGACCAAGTGACCGGAACAACTACATGTGAGAACACAGACTGTGTGAAGTTAAGACCACAGTATTTTTCACTAGAAAAGAGGTAAACATTTAATAGCCATTCAAATTACTGAACCGAGTGGACTGTTAAATGCATCTGAAAAATGAACATGTATTTCACTGACTATAAATTTCTAAGAGAATTTCTGATTTTCTTGTAACAGCTTTGGTCTTTCTAACTTTTGTGTAACTAGAACTGAGAATTACTTTCAATACAAAAGCATTTCTCAAAATATATATAATTGGTGAAGGAATTATAGTAGAGTGAAAGCAGCCTTTATAGTTACTTATGAGAGAGCATCTAGTTCCAGGAAAGATCTGCTGGATCTTCCTGTCATTCATGAAGGGAAAGCCCCTGTGTAGCTATGGTGTCTTAACTCTCCTGCTATGAAACAATTAAAAGCCCTACTCTCCGGGTTGGGAGTGAAGGTCCAGGAGGACCGCCTGCCTCATTATGTGAGACCCCAACCAGATCTCCTGCACCCTAGCACATCCTACTTTTAGGAACATTTATTCTAAAAACTGTACCCTGTATATTCACTCAAAGATGAATAACTACTATCCAAGTGTCCAAAACACACACACACTAGTCTACTGAGCACCTGAAATGTACGTGACTGGCCTGAACTGACAAGTGCTGTAAGTATAAAGCACCCTTGATTTGAAAGATTAATGAAAAGAAACTTTATGAAAAGAACTTTAAACTGTTATAGCTTTTATATCAAATACATGTTAAAACATTGTGAATATACTGGATTATATACTGACATCAGTTTCATATCTTTCATTTTACTTTCTGCAATGCGGCTATGAAGAATTTTAAATTACAAATGTGGCTCAGGTTTTATTTCTACTGTTAAAGTTCTACAATTCTAGTCTATAAATGCTTTTCTATAATAATCATTAGCAAAGGCAATCTGCCACAGGCCTAAATACATGTGCTCATTCTCACTAGACTTTTCAAAAACAATGGCCCTGAATGCTATTTCCCCAGGTAATTTCTTAGGGCTGCACTAGCAGTAAATGATCCTGACAGATAAAGTAAGGCTTCTCCCAGGCAAAGAAGGCACGACACTCATCACTACGTAATCACAACGGCTCCCCAGCAAGCGCCCCTCCCCATAACACAGGCCACAACATGTGGGGCAAAGGCATCTGCCCAGGACACCTGTGGGCCACAGGGAGACGAAATGAACTAGGCTACCACAAGCTCTGGCTACTGTGCTGTCCTGAGTAACAGAGCTCTTTGTCTCTGATCCACAGTTTTCTTGTCATCCGGAAGCACATAAACAGCTTTATCGCTAGCCCCTGAGAATTTCCAAGGAGAGTGGCATTCCAGCCCCTTCAGCAGGGCAGGGCCAGAAGAGAGGAACTCAGGGAACAAATGCCCTGTGTGCTGCCCCATGCTTCTCTAAGTCCTTTCCTAACTCATGAACCACATCAGCTAAGTGTATGATTATCCTCTTTGAACAGATGAGCTAAGAAAGAGTCAGCAGCATACCCAGCTAGAAGAGTCGGTGCTGGGCTCTACACCTAACACGCTCTCTATCGGCCAGGTCCTAAATCACCATATCCCCACCCCTCACCGTATTAACAGTTAAATGGAATAGAAAGTGACCAAAAGAACTAAGGTAACTAAGAATTTAAAGTTAACTCCACTCAATGGAATTGTTTCACCTTTCAGTAGTTTAAATGTCAGCCCCCCTATGAAGAACCTCCCAACCCACACACCTGGACAATCTCCTGCTGTATATACCCAACACACAGGACAGAGTTCTCCTCAGACAGCGTAATTCCCACAGATGAGGGGGCAATGACCACCTACAAGCCACAGTCTCCTATTTATCTCTGGACATGGAGATCATCAAATAAATGTTTGGAGGGGTCAACAATTTTTTTAAAAAGAGAGTGAAGGGGCAGCGCAGGGCTGCCATAATATGTAACATGTTATCTCATAAACACAGTGCAAGACAACAAAAATAACCATCCAGTGCCATAAATTTAGACTGTCATCACAAGAGGGACACATTAAAAGGTCTGATTATACTGTCCTTGTGACTAGGAAAAACTGCACCAAATACACACATAAGCACATTGCATGCTTGACTCCAGAATCCTGGGATGGTGTCAGTGCTGAACAGGCTTTGATAGCTACCACCTGGTTTGAGAATCAGATCTGATAAAAAACACTACCAAAGCTTCAGCGTACTTACTTTTGAAAAGCCAAAACCACCGTCTTACCTCGTCGCGATTCTCTGAAGATTCTTCTCTGCGTCTCTGTCTTGGACAACATCTGGCTTTGCTCTACACGCCATTTCCCACTCTCGCTTCTTATCAAGCTGCATTATAAATATTGTTAGGTGAAAGAGTATTAGGCCTTTTTGCAAGTGCAGCAAACTTTGCTATGATACTCTGCGAAAGGACAGAGGTAATAAATCAGTATGGATTAATTTGTCACAAGGACATTTTAAAAACCACAGTTTTAGGGCTCAACCTGAGCACGTGTGACTGGCATGCAGCGTGTCACGTGAGAGGCACTGAGTGAGTTTCCCCTGGGTTATTTATTGGACAACAGGACCCAGAGGGAGGCAGCACCTTCATGAGGCAGCAGAGGGAAGGCTTGAGGGGGCCACAAGTCTGAGCTCCCGTCAGCAGATCACCCAAAGAGCAACCCACACCACCCAAGTCAGTAAACTACACTTGGTTTTTGGTTTTTTGTTTTTTTGCAGTACCGGGGATTGAGCTCACGACCTTGTGCTTGCCAGGCAAGTGCTTATTCTAGTGAGCTATCTCCCCGGCCCAGTTAACTACACCTGTAAGCACCGTTTCTCTTTATTTTCAAAAAGCAGCTCCCTCCACAGTCAGAATTAAGAACATGTATCAGCTTTTAAAAGGAGAGCACCATACCCAGATATTCATGTTGTAGCTATGCTTCTTTTAATGAGATTCTTTTCTTAATGATTTTATTGAGAAACAAATAGCAATGAGATAGTTTCAAAACCGATTAGTAGGATAGTTTCAATAATTAATGCATTGCATATTGTTGTCTTCTTAGTGGTTATTCATAGTACAAGATGCAGACATGATATCCTGTCTACAAACACTATTATTACAAATCTATTAATTTAAGAGAAAGCTATATATCTATCCTAACTTTTGAATATACAGATACAAAATGGTCCTTCATTTGTATCCCTTTTGTTTAGTTTTGTCAGAGATGGGCATTCCACTGTCTTTTAAATATTGTAGGTGCATGAATTCAGCAAAATATTCCAATATAGTCCAGTAGTCAGTAATAGTAGTGGGTTATCCATAGGACTGACAATGTCAGAAGTTATTAACTTGAGCCTTTTACAACTCAGCATATTAATATGGCTTTACTTTTTATACTTTGTTTTTATACTTTTCTACTGGATGGTTAAGACCAAGATAAATCAAGACCTACATAACAAGAAATGTAACTTTTGTATCTGACAAGGTCAGTCAAATCCCCTCAGGATTTAACCTGAAACCCTGTACCTCAGGTTGTAGATCCTTTGTCAGTGTCAGCCATGTGGATGTCATGGTAATTGCCTGGCCAATTTGCTCTCTGTGAAAGCCTGAGAGAATGTTTTCTCTCCATGTGACTCTCCTTAGGCACACTCTACATCATCGATCACTTTCCTCCATGGCCCCATTCTCTCTCTGATCAGAAAATTTGGGACACAATTGAGTTACTGGATGTTACAGTACAGGCTCTCCTATGTCCTGAGTCCTCACTGACCTTGAAAGGCTAGGGCCAAAATGTTGGCTGTTCTTGCAGCCCTTCTTTTTCTCTAATTTTTGGTCTGCAAACTTAGGTTGTTAATCCTCCAGAAGAGAAGATTATTATTACCCTACAACGTAGGCAGTTGAGCTTAATCTCACTATCTGTCTGAATATCAAACATCTTAGATATAACACGGAACAGGTATTTTCCATCAAGTATTGATATGTTAAATTTTAAGTCTCTATAGAATATGAAGTAAAAAATTTTTTAAATAGAAAAATATTTTAAAAAATAAGAATGAACAATCACATATTTTTACACAGAAATTTAGAAATCTAACCATATACATCACCGTAGCAGGACAGTTCTATTAATGTTTTTTCTTGTCTCTTGCTTTCATTTAGTACCCTTTCTTTTTTAAACAAACATTTACTTGAGAGACAGTACGGCAGTCACTGGTGTGCCATGACAAGCAGTACGTACTCAGAAGGCCAGAAGGGCAGGCAGTCCAAGCGTGACCCCACTACTACACACTGCTATCTGCAGTGCAGTTGCTCAGTTCACAGCCATCAGCATATATAGTTAGTCAGGGTGAGAATCCTACCAATTAACTGCTAGTTTCAAAAACCTGCTGAAGATTCTCAGGATCACTGCCTTAACCATTTGCCCCTGTCATGTTTCCTAGCTTTTCTTCTTGTTCTCTCTTCATTGTCTAATCCTTAAGTTCTTGCTTTCCTTCTAATTGTGTTATACCTTTCTATTTTTGTTTCTTCTTTTGAGTTCTTACATTAGGGAGACTACACAATATTTACACATGTGGGTCTGGTTTATTTCACAGATGAGTATATCTTCAAGTGGCATCCACTTAAATATAAAGGCTTCAAGTTTATCATTCTTTATAGCTGAGTAATACTCCATTGTATAAAAATACCACATCTTTTTCACCCATTCTTAATGAGATTCTTTAAAACCCTTTCTCCTCTTACATCTGCCTAAACAAAATTCTTCCCATATACAGCATATGTCACAAACTGTAGCAATGTCTCTCCACTATTCTGTAAAAACAGAAGAGAAATTGGAAAATAAGAAAACCTTCCTTACAACACAACCTAGTTCAAAACTGTCTCTGGGCAGCAACTGTCAGGCTGTTTGTTCAGTTCTCTTTCTCAGGCCAGCATCAAACACATATCAAGGATACTCACAAACGAACTAGAAACTACCTTAGTGAGCATCCATCCACAAAGTTACAAGAAGAGCAATAGAAGAACGTCTCCATTTAAATCTTCCTTTGCTCTAATGACTTTTCATTCTGTATTCTTAAAAAAGCATAAGAATAAAACCAAATTCTTGCTGTCACTAGAAAGATCAACCTGATTCCTCTATAAAGAAACAGATGCATCTCCAAATCAGATAATTCATCCTAACAGTCACAAGTCCACTATCAGATCATACTAGAACTAAATCTGACCGCGACCCCACAGGCTGTGTGGCACGAGAACTTCACACAGAGCCCTGGAGAGGGCTGCGTGTCTCTGGGACAGGCCAGCGCTGCTCCCTGCTGGGTGGACAGGGCCACCTCCATGCTCACAGGTCCAGCCCGCAGCACAGCTAAGACCTGTCCACCCCACTTGGCTCCAAAACACTGTTCTTGCTCTCACTGAACTTTGCAACTAGAGATAATAAAGATTCTGATATTTTTAAAGCCTCTTCTAGCTTTTGCCCAGTAATAAATGGAGATTCAAATCTTCAGTTGAAAAGCCATCTATAAGATTTAAAGATGAAACATTTTTAAGTACAAGAATATCAAATTAATAAGAGTACACATTGTATGTTTTTAAGAATGCTTGAAAACTTCCATTTTTATGTAGCCTTTCACACAGAGCAACCAGTAACAGAAACAAAGAAAACATTCATCTTGAAACAAAACAAAGGGATGGCAAACATAAAAGGAAATACATGCCAAGTGAAATCTATTCTTCCATTTTTACCGGTAAAGTACTTCTCAGAAATTAATCCTTCTATACTGCCATTACAACTATATAAAAATAGTTTGCTTTCATTCTGAAATAATACTTATTCTAACCACCAGATATTTAAATACAAAGATACTTCATCAAGTCCAAGGACTATTAAAAGCCAACTTTCAGCTTACATTATTGATTTCATCAATCATCAGTAGGATTAACAAAAGCATAATATATTCCAGTTTATCCAGCAGCCAAACAACCAGTCTTAAGAATTAGAAACAACCTGACTTGAGTCATCTTACCATAACACACTTCTATTAGTCCAGAACTTAATGAAGCCAGTGCACGGGTGGCTAACGTGAACACTATATTTAGATAAAGGAGTCACTGCCACATGTATAATTACTTGATTTCAAAGATAAACTCCTGCCAAGTTTACATTTTTATTGCTCTGCTTAGATGACCAAGAAGCGAAGGAGGGCCACAGAGTAATTCAGGTCATGTTTCTGAATGTAACTTGGCTGTCCACTTCACATCAAAAGCAAATTAAAAACCAGAACATGAATTGGACAAATGCTGCAAGGAACAACGTGGTACAGATAAGAACTACCCGGCACTGGTAAGACACACCTGTTTTCTTTTCTCTAGTCGTTCTTGCTTCAGCCTTTCTTTTTCCTTTTCTAGCTCTTTGTTTTTGATGAGAATGGTGGGCTTGCTTTTAGGTGTTTTCTTGCTAAGAATTTTAGCCATGGCATCTGCCCATCCTGCATTAGTCCCGGCACCGGAGTCAGCAGCATTTTCCTTTTCTTTGTCCCAGGGTTCAGCATCCTCTTCATTGTCTGCTTCCACTGCTTCATCATCAGACAGCCCACGGCTGCCTCCAGAACCTGAGAGCGAAACACAGGTTCAACTTCAGCACACAGCCAGAGGCTGCCCCAGGCCCTCAAGCAGCACCCCAGCTCCACTCCTATATGGCTCTTCCAGTGCCATCCACAGGCGCGGAGGGGAGGAGGCAGCAGCTCTCCACTGAGACTGGTGCCAACACCTAAGCTGGCCAGAGTGACAGGGGTTTGTGGTGGCTTCCTGGCCCAGATGTGAGGCAGCAGAAACAAACCCACCACTGTCAGGCATGAAAGGTGCCGTCCTGAGGCCAGGCATAGTGTACTCAGGTGCATGGGCCCCAAATGTGGAACTACCTAAAGAGAACAACAAGGACTACATCAAAATAACAACAAAAGCTTCAAATATGAAGAAATGGTGCAGGGTTCAAATAATTTCTCCAGTAGATTTGGCTAAGACACATAAAATGCTGCATTTACGTGCAAAAAACACTAAAAAAAAAAAAAAAAAAAAATCCTGTCTCCTATGTCCAAGGTGATATTCAATTCCAGTTCTGGGTTCAACATGCACATTTTAGGAGTACTGGGCCGGCAATAGCTCAGCAGACTAAGCACCTGTTTAGGCAAGCACAGGGACTCGGGTTTGATCCCCGGTACCACATGTGGTGCCAGCCAAGCCCTCGGGGTGGTACACATCTGTAATCCCAGCGCTGGGGAGGCTGAACACAGGAGGATCAATACAAGTCCAAGCTGTGTAGTGAGACCCTATACCAAATACATAAATTAAAAATAAAGACAACAACAACAAAAAAGACCAGAAGAAATCAGCAGTACAATTATCCAAACTATTCTGCATCTATACACACCTTATGTGAATGTCATTGCGCATTCATTCCCAATGAATGTCATTGCGCAGAATTATCTCAGACAGTGTACACACATTACTACCAAACTAGTATATCATATAAGATTCAAATGGCTAGGGTCCCAAGATTGCAGAAAGAACAGCACAGAGCAAGGCTTCCTAAGCAAATCAACTTGCTCAGCAGCTCTGGGTGACTCAGGCCTAGCAACCCTTCTGCACTTCCTCTGAAGTGAACTGTATTTAGCCAACACAAGTGGCCCATACAGAATACGCTCATCTCCAGGATGGGGGCTCCTTGGACAGTGCCTGTCTCCTACAGAGCTGAGGTTATCAGGAAACACTTCAAAGGAGAAACAGCTTAGCTTAGGACCTGGGAATGTTTCTAAGTAAGCAGAAGACCTAACAAAGGCTCTGAGAAAGAGGGTAGCAAAGAAGGAAACTCAGGGTACCAGAGAAGCTACACCTCTGGGGTAACAAGTGTGCACATTCCTTTGGTTCACTACAGACTAGATGACTCTTGAAGATCAGCACAAAAGTCACTAGCAGAAACTGCTATCAAACTATTTTTACTACACACAAAAAAGTATTGATAATTAAAACATTTTCTGCATTATAATAAAATATTAAGGTAAACAGTGAAGGAAAAGGCCGAGTCACAAGCAGGTTTCCTGCTGCTGCTTGATTCCTCTAACTTGAATATCCTTGCTTGAAAGCCACAACTTGCACGAACACACACAGGATGAGGAGCAACGCATTCCCGAGGGTGCCCCAGTCCACCCACCAAGCCAAAGCCAAGCCTGTCACTGGGTTTCTGCTCCGCTTCCTCAGAAGCCCACTGACTGTACCACTTCCACGCTGTCAACTCCAAGCCTTGACTTCTTCTTCAAATAATTTCAACAAAATATGTAATGTTTACAAAACTACAAGGAAGAGAATACTGGCTGCACTATTAACTTTGGAGTGATTCTTTAATCTGTCAATTGTAAACCGTGGATCAGAGGAGGTGTATGGTCAGAGCTGTTAGCTAGCGTTTTCACAATTGAAGCTTAGGTATTCCCTTCGCATAACACAGCTGAGCCCTAATCTGAACACTAAACTCCACTAAACTCTAAAATTATTCCACCGTCAAAAACCTTTTGAACAAATGGAGGTCTAAAGAGTTCATACTTCAGAGCATTCCGGAAGTTTGATCTGTGGATTAGGGATGTCCAACCAGCACAGTTTTCGCAGATACTCAAAATCTGAAAACTTCTGAAGTTTGAAACACTTTCCTGGCCCCAAGCATTTTGCAGAAGAGATACTTATGTACACTTTTATTTCTTAAGTACTGAGAATTTGTAAACAGACATAATATAAGTAGTATATTCAAATAAAAATTTGTAACAATAGAAAACAGCACATAAAAACGTGTATCCAAAACTGAACCCTTAAGAAAATAAAGAAAAATGAAGTTATCTTCAAAAAATTAATTGAATACATAAAATTAGATTTAAGTGAAGAAAAATAGTAACTTGTATTCTTTAAATGCACGATCTTAAAACATGGGAACAGTATGAAAATTTTAAAGGAACAGTTAAACACGAGAAGACGTCTCATTCTATTACTCTTACAGGCAAATAACTTTAAAATAGAAATTTAGTTAGCACAATTTAATGCACCCTTCAGGCTGGGTCAATTTAAAAGGCCTAATGAAGTGTGATTCCAGACTCTGATGGACAAAGACAGGTGACATAAAAACTATATTACTGTTCACAATGTTACAAAAAGATACCTAAATTTCTCCAAAGGAAAGCTGGAGGCACTTGCATTCAATTAAATCTTGAGCGTCTACCAAATGTCAAAGCCATACAACTTTTCCCCAAGAAGTATCTCTTAGTAGAGAAGACACAGAAACAGTTTAAGAGGATGCAGTTAGCTGAAAAACAAATACATTAATATGTTTTAAACCTGATACTACAGAAAAGCTAGTAACAATCCTTTGGGAAAAGTGCACCTCTACTGGGTGTTTACCTAAGTGTGAAGACTCACAATGGTTAAAATATGCATCAGTGAAAACCAGCTGGGTGATTAAAGCAGAAAGCTCTCTGTCAGCTGGGGGATGTCGGAGCTGCAACACTGACATCTAGTGTCTTGTCCCGGTGTACTGACACACACACACTGCAGCTAACTTGACGCTTTTCCACTGCCCTGTAAGGGCACTAAAAGCTTACGCATGTGTCAGCCACTCGAGTCCACCACTCAGAAATCTTCTCTGCTTTTGTTTAGGGCCTTTCTTACCCAACTTGACTACAGAATGCCTATTATGGAAACATCATAAATCCATGAAAAGTTTTACAACACCATTTTATACAAGCTGCACTCATCCTACCAATGTAAACAGAAGAATTTGTGACAATAATGGCTTCTGTTTTACTGCGTTCCTAAAGGACCTCTAGCTCAGAAGTTTTTAGCCAGGCATTTATGGCTAAAGAAAATGAAGACATATAAGTAAATCAAAATGCCGATGTAAAAAGGGCTTTGAGAAAGCTTAAAAAACAGGATTTCTTCTAAACTATCCAAGATTATCAGTATGCATATCAAAAAGTAGGCCTGATTTAAAACTGTACTGTATCCTACTACAAGATTTTGCTAATTTCCCACTAAGCATCTTTAATGGAAGTTGAGAAGTGTATCGAGGTATCTAAAGGCACAGATGAAGACCACCAGGGAAAATGTGTCAGAAGTCCTGAGTGTTTTTTCCTAATGTCTGCATTCTATTCTAACAAGGCTGGGAAATTAGGAAGGGACACAGAAGATGCTCACTGGCACTGACAGCAAACAGTTCCAGTTATGCAGTGCTCTCCATCAGAGTGACTCAAGAGCCACAGCCAATCTACGTGGTGCCTTGAAAGTGTCCAGCACGGCTAAGGAACTGAATTTTCATTACCTTACATTTAGGCGGCCACGTACAGCTAGCTCATGACTACCGGATGCAGAGACACGCCTCTCGGAGGCTGAGGCAGGCAAAACAAGATACTTCTCACCTCAGGCCTCTCCCAAACTCTGGGCTTTTTCCACACTTGCCACTGTCCTTGACCCCAAGGAGGAAAGGAGGCCACTTCTAGTAGATGATAAGTCAGACAGAGTTTGAATAGATGCATGATCACCCAACATTTACTGAGTACCAGTGAATGCTGAGCCAAGAAGTAAAAAGTAAGAAACTTAAATCTAGGTTTCTTTCCTTGAGAAACCTGAGTTTGGAAGAGTACATTCAAGGGATAGAGATGTAGCTCAGTGGCATAAGTGCATACCTAGCAAGTGCAAGGTCCTAAGTTCAATTCCTGATACCAAAAAAAAGGAAGAGTAAATTCAAAAAATAGAAATAAAATCTACACATGCTCTACTAAAAGCAGTTAAGGATGGGGGTGGGGAAAGTCTCCCAAAGCTGATGTTCATGCTGTTTCTGGACAAAAGAGTCTGAATGACAAAAAAAGAATGGAAGTAAAAACAAATTCTATGAAGTAGACCAAAGGATCAAGGGGCCAGGCTGCAGAGCCTAGAACTGAAAAGATGGTAGGGCTCAGTCTTCTGTGTGAGAACAAAACTTATTATTCACATCACTGCTGGCATTCCGTTCAGGCGACTCAGCAGGACCAAAGCATGGGAGGGTTAAAGATGAAATGCTGTGCTTAGAAGATGAAAACAAGCTCAGACCATGAGGACTGCATGGATGGTAAGACCGGAGTACAAAAAGCAGGATGAAAATTCCATAAAAATCTGATTGAGGAGTCAAAACATGAAATACGCATTCATCTCCACAGGTGTCTGATCCTACTCAGAAGCCAAGAACAGGCAGGGGTAAAGAGAAGCAGAAGAGGGGCAGAAGGGGGGAAGAAGGGAAAGGCAAGGGGAGGAGGAGGGAATAAACCTGGGCACAGCACCTCCACCAGGACCCCAAGATCTCAGTGTTGGACTGCGCATGTCCTACTCTTTGACCAGGTGAATTGCTGAGTTGGATTTTTTTTTTTTCCTTTTTCCTCAGACCTTCTTCTGAAAGCTGCTAACTGAATAGTGAATAACTACTGCTCTTGTCCCAGGCACCCTGGCCTGAGGGATGATTCTGATATCTCACTGTGCTGCCCACTCTGGTCTTATACTGCTATGGTCAAGCAGGGCTCCTGCCTCAGCCACCAGGGAAGCTGGG